GCATTAGCAGCATGAAACTCCCCCATCACACAGTTACACAAGCTCTTCCCACTGCCCAGGTTGTCACTGAAGGACCCAACAGAGCCAGGGGCACTGTGAGTCAGGGACAGTCAGAAACATATCCCAGCCTTGGCCGAGGGCCAGCTGCTTTGGAGAGCTGCTGAACAGGCTTTTTACTGCTGCCTACAATTTAACACACAGCTGTAGGATGCAACCAAATCCCTCTCCTCCAGCTTGATACAACCTGACAGGTGAACAGCATAAAACAGGAGATGAGGCAGAGATGTGCAGCCAGTGGGACTTGGTTCTATTTGCTTGATAACCTGTTAAGCCCAACATGCCTTTCTGCTTTGTGAGTACAGAAAGGAGAAGAACTAGCATGCAAAACCACCATGGGAAAATGAAAAGAACGGGAAGAAGAATATGAAGTCTATAGATTGGACTTGAGTGAAACATGCTCTTAAGTTTTTCATTTTAGCTCTCCACTCAGGTGTTTATGGGGACAGTTTGAAGCAATATTAGGACTCCTGCAGGACAAAGAACCTTACAGAATAAACAAACCCACGAAAGTGTGTGTGCAGCTGCAGGGTGGGTGTGTGTAGAGGGTGCTGACAAAGGGGCTGTGGCAAGGTGCCACAATCTTGCCTGCAATAACTGGAAGGCAATGATGCCTAGCACCGGAATAGGAAGAGATGTGCAAAGCTTTCACTGCAATAAACAGCAAACCTGTGGTTTGTGAAAAGGCTCAGACACATTTACTGGTACCATCACAGGGAGGATTCTGCTGTGGCTTACTCGTATCTCTGTTGGCTTAGAAGACAGGAATGTTACTGGAAAGATCTCTGGAGAAAACAATTTGCCAGTTTTTTATCATGTCCTTATGGGAATGAAAAGAATTCAGGACTCCTGAATCACACAAGATGGGAAGAGCTGCCTAGGTCACACTGCTTGCAGTTCCGAGTGCTGTTCCTCCCAATGTTTTGCCATCAAAATCACTAATCAAATTAGTTACTAAGATGCATCTTAGAGAACATTTTCAAACCACATGGTCTCTTGTAACTAGGGAAGTTGTGGGGAGGAGAAAACAGTAGAAGAAAACAGAGGGAATTGTTAATTTCCTAAGGTTTTCAAAAATATTTCTGTAAGCACATGATGAGCTCACCTGAGTTAAGACTTTTTAATAGTGCATAAAAATTCGGAAAATATTGGAGGTCTTCAAAATTATCTTCAGAAGGCAGCTCGTTTCTTCTTTCCAAGACATTAGATGATGACCACGTGTTATCCAGTGTATCATCAATTTCTCCATTAATGAATCTATCCTGATCAGATTTGCTTGGTGTCTCCACAAAAGATATAAAAAAACATCTATAAGCACATTGCTTTTGGCAATAAACAGAGCAATAAATTAATAAATTGCATCATAACCTCATGCCAACATTTTCCTAATTGCAAGGTGAAGACTACATAATTTTCTCAAACTTATTTCAATTTGACATCTGGCTTGAACCTCACAGTAACTCATGATTTGTTTTTCTATCTGATGGAACTTCTTTAAGAACACCTTTAGTTTCCAGATTGAGCTAATTATTCCCTAAAGGAAGCAGTGAATTGCTCTACTAGTACCATTTGGCAAGCAAGACAAAACGATTAGCTAAGAAATTACCATTCTTTCCTGTTGCTTTTCCTTTGCATCACTGTCTGCTCTGCTTGCAGGGTAATCAAAATCTTCAGACTCCTTCTCACGATCCTTTGCTTCATTTGCAATTAGCTGCTGTAAAACCTCTGCCACTTCATCTTCCAGAGTATAGGCCTGACTCTCTGTGATCTGTTAAAATATTTGTGCAGAGTACTTATAAAATACTGTGCTTTTCCTAGATTAAACATCAATGTGAAACCTGAGCTTTGTAAATAGGTCGCTTTAAATATGCTCATATAGCCTCCAATAGGAAACCAAACCTGTTTAAGGCTTAACACAATGGAATGCAGCTTAAAAGTTGGAGCTGCAAGTGTGGCATTCCTATCTATATGTGTATACATGTGTGTATAGATGGAAATATATATGTTCTGCAACACATCTGTGTATAGTTGAATAACAACAACAGAACTGAGTAATATAGAAAGGGAAAAAAGCAAATAGCTTTCTATGGCATCATCAAAATGTTTTCTCTTTGCTTCTAACAGCTGTCACTAGAAGGAGAACTCTCCCATGCAGCTGTCCCACAGCTCCCTCTGTAATCAGCGGGTGCAGCATGCAATAGATAACTGCAAAATCTAGTGCAGAAAAGATAAGGTTAAGATTTTAAAATACAAGGGTCCCATATGGCAATGGCTAAAGCTGTTGAGTCGTCCAGAGGTCAGAGACAAATTGAGTCTTGCTAAAAGTCAGTAACAATGAGATGTATATCCTCAGTTACCCAGCAACATTGTATGCTCTTTAATACAAAAGTATTCAATGCAAACCAGAAGAGAAAATAAAGGACAAATGAGGGCAGGCACAGGAGGAGTACAATCAGTGAATGTTTTCTCAGCATCAGAAACATTCTGCAGTTTGGCCTAGTTTGTTGCAAAGCCATCACAGAACAACAATGTTATTGCAGAACTAAACCAACAAGCCCAAATGAGCCTAGAAATTTGCTTAGAGCCTGAATTCCATTCATTTTCACTGAAGTCAGCAGTAGACACAGTGTTCATCCAAATCGTTTTTTAAAAGAACATTAAACCAACCCACAAAACAGCTAAATGAAGTACAAACAAGATACTTACTAGTCCCAGATTTAGAAGTTTTGAAACAATCTTGTCAAACACTCCTCTATCATTTTCCTCATAAATTCTTGCGGCAATTTTTTGAACAATGTCTTCAGCAGTCAGAGGAGTGCCATCTAATTGATGGAGGCCATCTGGATCATCTGAAAGGATTACAGTTTAACTCTGTGCTGACTGTCCTAACTCATTTGGATTAAACATCTTGTAAAAAATATCTGCCCACATCTTTTACTCTTCAGAACAAAGCTGCACTTTTTAGACACATTAGGAATATACTTTGATACATACTACATCAGTCACAGTGAAAAGTTATATGTGTCCATTTTTCACATCTGAAAATGTCTTTCTGACTGGCTCTTTTGAAAGAGCAGAGGTGAATGTTAGGAGCATACTCTCCTGTTTATAGAAAGAAATTGTAAGAATGAGAGAACACTGCTCCTGTATCTACTTATATATATCCTCCTGGTATCTACTTTCATTGCATGGCCACTCAGATCAAATCAGGTAACGACAAACAGCACACAATCTTCTTGCTTGGATTTCAGCAAACAAACTTTTAATTATGCAGTCATTACTGATGGCAAATAATATCATCATGACAATGGGAAAGGGAATATGATGAGTGAGCTTTGGTCTGTGATCAGCATACTTTGATATAATTAAAAATATCCTGAGCTAAATGCTGCTTACAACTCTCAGAGGACTCACTTAAACTACAAATCAATTAACTACTCCTGTAACGAAAGCAAGTATTCTTTGGCCTTTAGTCATTTCTTTTAGCTTTGTGATGAGGAGAATTATCTAACATAGCACATAACATTTGGAATAAATACATGTGATTTAGCTGTATGTAAAAGAGGTTCTTCCTCTCAAACCAGAATAAATATATTTTCATTTAAAAATATGTCCCATTTTCCTTCCATCAAATTCAAATTGCTTAAAAACATAGCACAAATTGCAGTTACATTTTCCTCCAAGGAAGAAGATTGTGAAAATCAAAAGCAATTCTTTCACATTGTGTTTCAAAACCTAATTTTAACACAACAAGCTTCCACAACTGGAAAGAAATGAAATTGCAGCCCAGTAACAAACAGAGCTCATGTTTAGCAGCGAGGGCAACATTCATGATGGCAATCAGTTTGCAAGAGAATTCTAACCTAAAGGTCACCGAAAGATGATTATAGAATACCTTGGAATTTATAATCCAGCCCACTTTTAGTGGAGTCATAGTCATCCACAAGCCTGCGGTTCTTGGTGGAGTCTGCATCATCAATGGCCAGTTGCTGTTCATACAAAGAGCTTCTAATTGACTCCCTCTCCTTTTCATTCCTCTCTCTTTCTGCTACTGATTTGAGCAGGTTCAGGTCATCAACAAAGGAATAATTCCTGAACTCTGGCTTATTTTCTGGAAAATATATATCAATGCAGACATAACATAAAATCTTATATCTCTTGGAATACCATTATGAATATTGCTATAAAACCAAGAAAGATGTTTTACCTGTGGGAGCTATTTTCCTATTCTTGTCTGCCTCAGCTTCAGCAATCTAACATACAAAAATAAAACAAACAAAACGACAAACAGGCAGGAGGAATAAAATGTGTGATCTCTTAATGTATCAATATCAGCAGAAGCCTTAATGCCTGATTTTCACTCTTAGTAAGAAGTTTGCCTTAATAAGTAGAACAGCATTGAGCACTTGGTATTTTCTGTCAGTACCACCCATCCTCTGATCAGAATTGGACATTACGAGAAGCTGCTATAGACTTTCCATATAAAATAAATGCTAGTTACATTTTCCTTCTTCATTCCAAGCTCATGCTATATTCCCAGAGGATATCAATACAAAGGGGTGGCATATGTGTGAGCTGTTGGAGCCAACAACCTGATTTTGGAATTCTGGACAGAGAAACCCTATATGCCACTTCTTAAAAATTATTGAAACTCTATTTTGTATCCAACCCCACAAATAATCACTATACTGACAAATCTACTTTTAACTCATTTGTTATCCATTAGGATATTCATGGGTCCAGCACTCAAAAGGGACAAAATATCACGGGAATACCACACCAAAAAACCATGGTAAATGCCTTTTTGTTTTACTCACCTGTTCCTCCAAAGGTCTTTCTACACTTAATTGCCTGTTGTGTATAGCTTTATCTAGAATAAACACACACACATATATACTCAGTTATATGACACATAAGAGTACAAAGAGGCAGCACATGTTTTCTTAATTTATAGTATTCTCTCATAAAATGTGGTGTTTTAAATAGGGTGGCAACTGCTAGTTCTTGCAAAAAAAAAGTAAAATAAATCTGTTCCTACAAGAATGAGAAGACAATCTGAATTTTAAAAAGTCAAACATTTAACAAAGCATGATTGGGGCAGAGGGAGAGGTTCTGCAAGAGATGTCATAGAAATAGAGACAGACTCACCAAACCCCTTCTGATGAGAAAACTCACAAACAAATTGGGGGGGAAATGCTGTAAGAGATTGACTAAAATAGCAGTAATCGGATTGGCACAACCAAGAGATTAAAGATCTCTTCCATGCAGGATGCCAGGGGAGACAGTGAGCAAGAAAGACTTGTGCAGGAACCGCTGTAGAATGGATGAAAACATTGCTTGGAAAAGACTGAAAAAATTCAGAGCTTTTTCCTCTACCAGCACCTACCCCTTCACTTTAATATTAGATTGCAACTTCAGCGAGCGCCAGGAATAACGCTGCTTTAGGATCTCACCGCTTTGAGCCAAGCGGAAGGAAAGTTTTGACTTTCCTTTATCCATACCCTACAAAACTTTCCTCATCTCGCAGAAAACAGAGGAAAGGCGCTTACCTTTGCCCGCGGGGTTGGGGAAGCCATGCACTCTGCTCGCCAGCAGCGACA